GCCCCGCGCGCCGGGGACGGTGGGGAGCGCGGCGGCGGGGAAGAGCGCCTTGGTGAACGCGACCTCGGCCTGGTTCTCGCACATGTGCGTCTGGATGGCGAGTGCGGGGTCCGCCTGGGCGTGCGCGCCGAGGGCGGCGAGGAGCGCGGGCGTGCACGAGATGGCGAAGCGGGGCGTGAGCACGGGGTGCACGAGCGGGGCGTGGCCGGGGCCGCGCGGGGGCAGCGCGCGGATGTGTGCGATGAGCGCGCGCGTGTCGGACATGGACTGCTCGACGGAGGGCTCGGTGTAGTAGTCGGGGCAGTTACGGTCCATGTTGCATTTCTAGCTGCGGGGTCAGCGTGTAGGCGCCGGGGCGCAGGCGCGGGGGCTCACCTACCCCGACGAGGGCGCGCTGGCCTGCAGGCGCGGACGGTGAGAAGACAGCGAATGTATGCGCGCGCTCGGACGCACCGTTTCTGTGTACGATGTCCGCCAGGGCCTTGGTGGACTCTAGATGCTGTGAGCCGTAGTAGCAGCAGGTGGTCGTCTGCCCGGGACAGAGAAAATGGGTGAGTGTCGGACGTGCTGAAGGGATGGACGTACGCCGCAGTCGATGATACGCCGCACGACGGTCTCGTACGTCTTTGTTGCAAAGTCTATGTCGGAGAACCTGGCCTCCATCGGGAACGTGACCTCGGACAGCCAATCGAGCAGCTCGTACTGCTGCCCGCTGCAGCGATGCGGTCAGGTCGCGCGAAAGAAAAGGGAAGCGGGACGCACCTTCCGATGTTCGGGACTTGCGGGGCATGCTGCGGGAGAAAGAGCGGGAGATCGTGTTGAGCACGGAGGAGCACACGGCGATGGGGTGACCCACCGTGTGCGTGTCGATGAGCCCGGGCATCAGGAACTCGCCAAACTTGAGCTCGACGAGGGAGTATCCGTCGACAAGGCCGTGCTTTGCCAGCACGTCCTGAAGGGCGCCCGCGGGGACGTCCTCCTCGAGCCAGTCGATCTGGCCGGTGCTGTCCGAGACGGCGAGGAGGGCGTGGGGGAGCGCAAGGTATGTGGTGAGGGATGCTGGGGAGATGAGTGCGCCGTAGTATATGGTCGACATGACGGATTGGCGTGGTCAGAAGGGGGCCGGAGACGGGAGGGCTCAGGCCATCGCAGACACATGGGCGCTCGCTGCTGGACATGCCATTTATGGAAGTTGTTTAGGAACGAGCAAATGGGAGTACAAGGCCATGTTATTCGAGAATACACTCGGTACGCTACGCGACAACACCGCCAGGGCCGGGTGCATACAACTCGAGATGCTTCAAGTAAGCGGGCTCGGACGTATGCCCGCTCATTGGCCCGGCAAGCACTTTCGAAATCGGACCTATTCGCAAAGCACCTTTCCGGTGGCGTTCTCCTCTCCCGATGTTGTGCTCAGAACCACCCATCGCTCGAGAAGAGTGGTCGAAGCGTGATGGGAAGTGTGATTTATGGCACAATCGCCTCCTTTCCCCATCCATGAACAACATCACCCGACGCGAGTACGCGAGTGGTTGATTTGCGAACAGAAACGGAGGTTGCATGCAGTCTGATGAGCTGCCGCTGGCCAGCGCAGACGACGACGGTGATGACGAAGGGGTATTATGTAGCTAAGCCGAACAAGCAAAGTGGCTGGAAACCTACTTGCCCGGTATTTCATACGGGTGTGACCCAGAAGCACCGGGCAGGTGGTGCGGCGTTTAGATAATCTTCTCGGCTTCTCGTGTTGGATAGCCTGCTGAGAGCCTGTCGGACGCAGTTGGGACTAGAGGGCCCTGCAGGGGGGCGTGCAGCGGAGATGAGGAGAGGGAGACAGCTTCAAGTCTGACCTGTAGCAATGCCGGGTCACTGGCGTCGGTAGGGGTCCGTCTGAACAGAGTTTGCCGGGAACTACGTCTGATGACTGGTGAGAAGGACGTCAGGATGGAGTAATATCATTACTCGCTGGGTACATCGATGGCGGCTGCCAGTGGACCTTTGTCAGGTCAATCACAGGGCAGGCGCGTCAGGTAGCGTAGAGTGAAAGGGGACGCCGAGGGAGAGATCACGCGTATGAGGGAGGGTCGGGATCCTGTCGGGATCTCTCCCCCGAGGTGCAGGCAGGGAGGTGAAACCGCCGCGCATGGTGAACCATCGTGCGCGGGTGGAGGAACCGGGGAATATGTGCAGAAAAGTAGAGAGGATGTGGAGAGAACATTGTGGGTGTCAACAAGGAGGGAAACGAGAGCCGACTGGAGTGAGATGGGAGATGGGACCCGGTCAAGATCAGGACATCGGCATGCCAGGTACGCGCCTTGGCGATCAGAGAAATGGAAGAGAGAGGGGAGAGACCATGTGCCGCTGCGTGCTCGTCGATACGGGCAGTGGGCAGGCCGTGCACGCGTCAAGTGGGAAGAGGAGGCTGGGGCAGAAATTGGGGGCAAGGGGACGCGTCGAGGGGGCGGGAAACGCGAGCGGACGCGTCTGTGGCGGAAGAGTGTGGGGAGGGAGCACATGGGCAGGAGACGCAACATGACGTCGAGCGCATCAGACACGGCGTGTGGCCTGCGGGCGTGAGATGCGAGAGAGAAAGAGAGAGAGGAGCCCGGGGGAGCACGGCGGGAGTGGCTTAGGCGAGATCGGCTGCAGTGGCCGCGGGCGGGAGGACAAGGGCGGGCTGTGCTGGCGACGTTGCCAACAGGGCATGAGGCCGCTTGGCCCGCGCGCTGTTATCGGCCAGCTCGTCCAGACTCGCAGTGCACGCGGTGTTCCAGTCGAGGAAATTCTGAGCTGCACGCACAGGCGCAGGCTGGTGCAGCTCTGCGCGAGAAACGAAGAGGAGAAGGCTGCTGTCGGGGACTCGGAGGGCAAAGAGAGGGAGGCCGTTGTGCGAATTCGGCGGCGGCGGCGACGGCGGCGGTGGCTGCCTGCGCGGCCCGGCGTCTCTTTTTCAACCCTTCACATCTCACCCACCTATTTAAATTTCTTATATATACCCTCCCTCCTCCCTCTCTCTTCCCCCGCCCTCTCGTCGCCTCCCGCGCGTCGACCTATACCCTTTGTCGTCGTCCGACCCGTCTTGCTCGCCCCCACCCCCCACCCTCAAGCCATCGTGTCCGCGCCCTATCTGCATCATGCCTTCCCTCCGCCGTACCCTCTCCTCTCCCCCCTCCCGTCGCGCCCCTTACCCCTCCTCCCTTTCCAGCAGCAGCAGCAGCGCCGCCACACGCCCCGCCGGCCACGTCCCCCGCAGAGCTTCAGGCTCCGACGTCAGCAATAGGAGAGTCCTCGCAGACCTCGATTGGTGGGTCGTCCAGGACGGCCAGTACGACGAGTTTGACCCCGCAAACGACATCCTAGACACCCCCCCGATTCTCGAACACGACGACCACCCTCACCATCATGTCCTCGCTGGCCCTGCTCTAGACCCCATCCCCGGCGTCCCTCCGCCCGCCTCGCAACAAGAACCCCGTGCAGATTCAACAAGCCTCTTCCAGGGCCCGTCGGCTCCGCCACCCGTCTTCCCCGACTTTCCCCTTCACAGCCTGTATGCCCGCGATTCCTCCGAGGTTAGTCTTCCTCGTTCACCATCGCGCGCCACACCGCGCGCATGTGTATGTCCTATCCCTCGCTAACACTTGCCATCCTCTCCCCAGTCCTTGTCCCCTCTTACCCCATTCGCCGACCTGTCCATTGCCCCCTGCACCCCTACCCGCATCCACCTCGATCAATCATCCGACAACGAATTTGATTCGCTTCAGAGCACCCCCGAGTCTGCACACTTCTCCCTATTGCCAGTACCCCTCCCGTCCTTTGGGAGTACCTTCATGGACATGGGCTCCCATCTTCCTGCTACCCATGTCTCTCCCCCCATGTTGGGCTACGGTCGCCGGCCCTCCACCGGCCCTTCCGGCATGATGAGATCCGCAAGTTACTCATGGGTCGAGTCTGAAATGTCCACCATGCGACAACGAGATTTTGAGGATCCGTTTGAGGACGTCTTCTCTCCTCCGGCTCCCTCCCCTTTCTTCTCCCTCACGCGCACCGACGTGGACGACCTCTTTTTCTGAATTCTTATCTGCACCCTCGCGTGCTCTAGTCATACATGCCATCCTATTCCTCAGTCTTGTGCCCTGTGTCCGCCTTCACGACTTGTTGACCGTTGACGACCGCCACATCATAGTAGCCTTCGCGTCTCTGCATCTCCATTCGCCGTACTCAACGCGCTCAAGGCGCAAGTTGTTGTACTACTCATCCACCGACGAAGCATTCGCTTGCACCTCGCCCTATCTATATTCTCTCCCCCCCATCGACTCTCGCCGCTGCCGGCACAATTCCCGGCCACGCAAAAGCGCTTAGCATACTGCACCATCAACGAACTTTGTTGTCATCATTACCCGTTCTTGCATCTTGTCTCGTCTATCAATATCTTCTGTCTCTCGTCTGTCTCGCAACACTATGATACTCCTTCATTCCATCCCATTTATCCCATCACTTTGCCGTCCGTCTCCCAAGGTTCCCCAGTCCCCGTTATTTGCACACCCTCCCCAGGCGCCTCCACCTCCACCTTCAAGTTCACGCCGCCCAGGATCGCATCACTCCATCGACGCCCGCTGTCGCCGCCTGGCCGTTTTCGCAGTACAGTCTAGACGGTCTTGATTTCCGTTGCATTTTGCATTACCTCGACGACTGTCCGCCTTGCTTTTACGCCCCGTTACGTCTTACGCCCCGTTGATTGATTGATGCCGTTTACTTGGTGCGCGAGTACTCTCCCTTTCCCCGTTCTCCCTCACGCGTTCTTGCTGTCTCGCGTCGGCCGTGTGCCGCCCCCACAGAAATTACATCAGACGTCCCTTAGTAGTCTCTTTATCTCACGACCGCTCTGTAACGACTAGACATGCCTCTTTATACTTTTCTCGCGTCCTGCTCTCTTTGCTCTCGATGGTGCCACGTCCACCGCGTGCTGTACTATAAAATGCGCGGTAAATCAACTGGATTGAACAAGGTGCATCGGTGACATCATCGTACAAGCGCCGGGTTTACATCTCAGCCTAAGCGTACATGGTAGCTACGCGAGAGGACAGGCGCCATCACACCCACCTCGCCAGTCGCGACTGCAGGGCCCTCGCAGCCCGGCGCGCCGTAGAGGCTTTTGGCGAAGCTCGCGTTCCCCGAGTGGTTTGCGTCGGTCACAGCCCGCCCGTCCCACAGGGAGGGGCCATTCGCCGCCCCGGACGCCCCCTTGCTCGGCAAGACGACGCGACGACACACGCAGGGTCCACAACGTTCACCATTCAACGTCAACGTCAACGTCCACCGCCGCCCGCTCGCCCGCATTGGCCGGAGCACCGTCCTGCCCGTTCTCGCTCGTCGCCGCCCCCCGCACGCACACCGGCAGGGGCAGACGGTCCGCGCGCTCAT